CAATGGGCAATAACATGCTTTGTAGCTTCACCTGTATGTAACGAAGCAAAAATAAATCCAGAACAGGTATTAATAGACACATTTATATATTTTTGTTTACCGAATTCCATGAAGTGGTGATATTCATTTGCCATAGTTGATTGGGGAATATACCACAAGGATTAATTCCAAAATGAGGTACTGATAACTGGATGGAGCAAGCAGAACAAGATTTTACAATTTGTCGAGCTTGTTCTCGAGTAATTTTATGTTTTAAACATAGTGTATGAGTATTTAAATGATGTGAAGCGTGATCTTTTGTTGCTGTTTCAATAGAATATATGCACAGAGCAGAATCTGCCAAACGATTGCCCTCTACCAAAGGTCCAGGAAGATTGGAATGTGCTCGAATATGACCTATAAAGGAAGGTCATGTACACTGCCGAATGACAGTGCAAATGCGAGAAAACAAAGGAGAAGCAGCAGAGGATTAAAGAAAGAATGAAGAAGTTTCTAATGAGGCACCAATAGGAACACATATTTACTATCAGTGTATATGTTAACCACTACATCCAAAGTAGACTGCAATGCAAGTGCAACAGCAGTTAATTCAACTAGCTGTGGAGATGAAAAAGGGGTGTTAATAACTGTACGGTGACCATCACAAATTACAGAAGCTTGACCAGTGTTGGAACCATCTATAAATATCAAGCCAGCATTCTCTAAGGGTTGAAAGCTTATATTTCATGGGAATACACAGGGATAATGTTGTTAAAATTGTATCACTTTATCTGCTGGATAGTTATCATGAACTTGTCCTGAAAAGAAAGCTAATGCAAGAGGCCAGTCTTCAGTAAAAGACAGGAGCCATATTAGCTGTTTGTTAGTATATGGTTGACATATACATGTCAGTTCTATTGCAAATATCTTTCTACATTCTAGTCTCCCTTTAGCTATAATTTCAGCTATTGCATTATAATATGGTACAACATTCTTTTTAAATATATCCAAAGTAAAGGGGCCTCTTGCCACAACAGAGTGGTGGGTAAATAATCTGTAAGCAAAATAATAAGAATTAAAGGTTGATTATAATCAATGTAAGAAACAAAGCTCTGAGATAAGGCTTGTTGTACCTTTTCCAAGGCCAGCCGTGCTGCAGGAGTAGGCACTCATTGGGGACTATCTCCCTTTAGGATATCGAATAAAGGTTTAGGGTCTCCTGTTGTGAGGTGGAGATGTGGACGAAGCCAATTAATATCCCCTAGAAGTTTCTGAAAGTCATTTAAAGTCCATAAAGAATTCAATCGTAAGGCGACTTTCTGTGGAAGTATTTTTCATGGGTACAATTGGAAGCCTAGATACTGATAAGGATATTGAAGTTGCATTTTCTCAGGGGCTATGATAAGACCAAAAGCAGATAACTGCTCTTTCATTACCATCAGATGTTGCATCACCAAAAATTCCTCGGGTCCAGCTATCAAAATATCATCCATATAGTGTGTAATATATAAATTACAATATATTTTGCAAATTTTTTGAAGAGCAGCATCAACGAATTGTCAGCACAAAGTAGGGCTATTGGCCATTCCTTGAGGTAAGACCCTCCATTGGTATCTTTGCATAGGTTCTTTAAAATTTATTGATGGAACACTGAAAGCAAATTGGGGGCAATCTTCTGGATGTAGAGGTATAGTATAAAAACAATCTTTTAAATCTATTATTGCAATATAAGAGTCCTTTGGAATTGCAGTAGGCAACAGTAAACCTGGTTGCAAAGCCCCCATAATTTCCATAGTAGCATTAACTGCATTAAGGTCCTGAAGAAACCACCATCTTTCAGAATTATTTTGATAATAAAAATAGGACTATTCCAAGGAGAATAAGAGGAAACTATATATCCTGCTATTAATTGTTCTTCCACTAATATCTGTGTAGTTTTTATCTTTTCCTGTGGTAAAGGCCACTGATCCATCCACGTGGGATCATCTGATTTCCATTTTATTTTTTCTGCATGGGGCACAGGTTGATCAGCGGCCATCAAGGGAAACCTAAGCCCTTCCGGTCATGATTAACAGTTAAAGTAATTGGGGATATAATGCCTTGTTGTTGTTTGCCCAAACCTTTTTCTGGCAAATGACCCTATTGAAGCATATTAGTGGTAACAACTTCATTTGGACTACACATTAAAGCCCCTGTTTGTGTTAAAACATCTTGCCCCCAAAGGTTAATGGGCAGTCCTCCTAGAATATATGATTGAAATGTGTTTGTATTGCCTGTTTTATCTTTCCATTGTAACAACTCTGAACTTAGTTCTAGTCCCTGACTCTGACCAATATCTCCTAATTGAGTCATGGTAATTTCTTTTTCCAATTTGTGGGCCACTTTGCTGCTGAAATAATGGAGACATCAGCTCCAGTATCTAAAAGACCCTTGAATAATTTTTTATTTAATTTTAAGGAAAATTTGGGTCAGTCCTTAGTTATGGGTTGTATCCAATAAGCATCAGAAGATCCAAAACCTTTATTTCCTCTTTTATTTAAAAAAGACTTACCAATTGAAGACAAGGGGAGCAGAATCAAATGACCAATGCATTGTCTTGGAGTTAAAGTTACAATTAGATTATTGGCTTTAGCCATAATTTTTATTTCACCAGTAAAGTCAGCATCTATAACTCCAGGAAAAACCTGTAACGCTTTCACAGTTGTACTACTTCTGCCCAGTAGGAGACCAAAAACCCAGTTGGCAAAGGACCAAAAATCCCAGTAGGGAGGGCTTGCAGGCCCATCTCAGGGGTCAATACTGTATAGGAGGTGGTGCTGAAGTCCCATCCTACACTACCCTCTGTGGCTCTGTGGAGGGAATTGATGGATTTAGGGTGTTCTGTTGAGGAAAAAATGTCATGGCCCCAAAAATGTGTTGGTTTTGCTGGGATGGGGCCTGGGGCTGGCCCTGCTTCTAGTTTTTGGAACTTTGTTCTTTTAATGAGTTACCTTTTTTTTTTTATCAGTTTTGGAGCGACATTCATTGGCCCAATGCCTTCCCCTTTTGCACTGGGGGCAAATCCCAGGAGTCTTATTTTGATCTTTAACTTTTGGACAATTTTTTCACACATGTCCCTGCTGCCCACATTTATAGCACCCTCATTTATCAGGCATAACCCTCCTTGTTCATTTTTGTAATGACATACCATGCAGAGTGGTAGGTCCTGAATGTTCTGTTTTTAAATGAATCCATTTTGCTAATTCCTCATCAAAGGGACTGTCACAGAACACCTCAGCCACAGTAGCCAATTGATCCATATCCGTGTTGTACTTATGTTTTGTAGAATTTACAGTGCTGTGGGCATTACTAGGCAATCTTCACACAGCACCAGAAAAGGATCTATCCTGAGAATCAAACATCATCAGTAATCATCACGGGCACGTTTAACGTTCAGCTTGACTGTGTGTTCCCCTAGTATGAAACAGCAGCTGCATAGGCTTGTTACAGCTCCCTCTTAAAGCCCCCAAGGACAAGGGTGGCTCATTGCCAAGATTTTAGGCAAGCAGTGAGTCCTGTCCCGGATTTTGGCCAGAGAGCCGAGACATGAAGCATGCCCACCTGTTTATCAGAAACATTCCTTTATCCTCCTCCCTGGGAACTGGCCAGGCTCCCAAAAAGCAGGAGAAGGTTATCTGGCAGACAAGTTACTTGTTTATCAGAGCCAAACCTAGATACAAGCCTCTCCATTTCAAAAATCTGTCCTTACATTTGGTCCTAGGGTTGCATTGAGGTGTAGCCATAATTAACATGGGCTCGTTGCATAATAAGAATACAATTTTTTTTATACAAGTATACATCCAGTAATCAAACATAATAATATTCAATGTGTTTTAAGGATAAATTGAAACATATCTCAGGGGGAATTAGCCTCTTGGGCACCCATGTCAGGGACATAAAAAACAGCACCATTCCAATACAACAACTCAAGCTGCTGCAGACAGCCTGAGAACTGGCTAGACGATCTCATGGCATGGAGATCTGAGGCATTGTTACTTGTTAAACAGACATGTTGAGGTGCACGCAGTCCAATTAACAAATGCGCTAACATTTTGCATTACTCTAAAATTAGTGATTTGGGTTTCATTAAATATTACATTAAATATTAAATAAATTTAATTTACATTAAATATTAAATATTTCATTAAATATTATTTGATAAGACAACAAATTTTTCGGTGGATGGAACACGGTGGGTAACCATTTAGCCATAATGATAGTAGCCTCTTATTATCTGTAATTGTTACATTCTTGTAGGTTCATAGAATCTTAGCCATTTGTGGCATATTTTGATTTACATTCTTTTTGTAAAGCAAACCAAGCATAATCTGCCCAAGCATTCTTATCCATAATAGGGCCAGAGCTAGTACATAATACAAAAACAGAATGGGTAATCCGGACACTTTGTCACAACAATTCCTCATTTCACATAATAATATTAACTTTACAAAGACAACATTTACTTCAACTGAAATATTTAAATGTAGAGTGGGGGGTGTCCAGTGTACACTGATTTATATTTTCCACTCCCAGAGTAAGTAGTTACATTTTCATTCACAACACCCTCTTTAGCAAACCAAGGACTAATTTTTTCAACAGCACTGATAAATTGCTCTACGGTTTGTTTCTTTGACCTTATTCCCTGTGTCTACAATAAAGTTTTTACAGCCTTTATGGCTTGCTTACCTTGTTGTTACAGCCTTTATCAAGGCTTGCTTTGTTTCTTTAAATGCACATTTAAATCTTTTCCGAGCAAATCCCAATGTTGCTCATCCACAATTCCTTCTTCAGCGAACCAGGGACTGACTATTTCTATAGCATCAATGCTATAGAAATGCCCCCAGTCTGCTCTCATTTTAACCCTATTCTCTGTGTCTGTAATGGAGTCTTTATAGCATTTATCACCCTGTGCTTACCTTGTGCTTGTCCCATAATTGTCCCTTTCACACCTATCCTGGAGGCAAGCGGTATTGGGTACTTACCATCTTCCTTTCATTATTCTGTTATCGCTGAGGCCTTATCCCTTGTACTCAGGTCCCTGTTCATTATTCCAGTGACTCGGTGGTATTTATACATAACCAGCACAAAGAAGTAGAAAAGATAACAACATACGTAAGCAACTTATCAGGGCTCTGGTAACACAGATAATTTTAACAAAGTGCTCTTGATTAACATCCTCCTTCAGGATGGGAATATGTGACTTTCTTATCCCAAGAACTCCGCAAGCCAAGACTGGCCTTGATTTGTCCAAAGGCTGCCTACACTTGGACCTCTTGCCTTGTGCAAGTGCTCTTCCTGGAACACCACAAGGCCACAGGGAACTCCTGCCAAGTTGAGGAGTTTATTCACTGATAACTAACCCAAGGGGCTTCATTTGGCCATAGAAAGAGGGGGAAGAAGGGAAAAGCAAAGTGATTTGGGGCTCTGTGAAGGCCAGTCAGTAGCCACTGAGGCCAAGGTTAGAAGATGACAAGAGAAACTTGGACAGCCCACGGAATCAGGAAAGGAAGATGTCTCAGGTCCTTAGGAAGGGAAGAGCCAGCATGTACATGGAGACAGCAGCCCCCAGTCTGCTCTAGAAGCCTGACTTAAAGGTTTTGGAGCCAAAATATGCCTATTTTCACTGTAAACATTGTAGGATAAGATGGAAGAGGGCTTAAGATATGGTGCATTTCTGGAATTAATAGGTTTATTTCAAACTACTGTTGCAAATGCCAAAAGAGTTTTAACCAAGTAGGAGCAATACAAGATTAGCCTCATTGTTTCTATCCTCAAAAAAGACACATTGATTTAAGAATGTCTCGTTGTTAGGAACTGGGCAGTCACTGCAAAGACAAGAAGTTCTCTTATGGCAGTATTCACAGCTTTAGATATATCATTTGACAGTCTATGTGGTTTGTATAGGACATCTGGACACTTCTGACTCTTCTGGTAATTTACTATTCTATCTTCCTTTTTTTTGTTTTTTTTTTTTTTTTTTGGACAGGCAGAGTGGACAGTGAGAGAGAGAGACAGAGAGAAAGGTCTTCCTTTTTCCGTTGGTTCACCCCTCAGTGGCCGCTGCGGCCGGTGCACCCCACTGATCCAAAGCCAGGAGCCAGGTGTTTCTCCTGGTATCCCATGCGGGTGCAGGGCCCAAGCACTTGGGCCATCCTCCACTGCACTCCCGGGCCATAGCAGAGAGCTGGCCTGGAAGAGGGGCAACCGGGACAGAATCCGGTGCCCCGACTGGGACTAGAACCTGGGGTGCCGGCACTGCAGGTGGAGGATTAGCCTAGTGAGCCGCGGCACTGGCCTCTATCTTCCTTTTTTACAACCTCATTCTCACAAGGCATTGGAAAATGGACCAGGCTTTTGCATCTTTGTAGGTTGTATAGCAATTGTACAATGTGAATAGAATAAAATAAATCTTGTGAAGTTTAAAAAAATCACATCAGTTTGTCTTGATGACTGCAAAAAAATCACTTGACAAATATTAACATAATTTATGATAACAAAAATTTTAAAAATACTTATTTATTTGAAAGGCAGAGAGAGAGAGAGAGAGAGATATCTTCCATCTAGTGGTTCAGTCCCTGAGTGACTACAATGGCCTGTAGTAGGCCAGATTGAAACCAGGAACCAAGGATTCCATCAGGCTCTGTGACGTGGCTGAAAGTAACTCAAGAACTTTTGCCATCAGCCACATTATCAGGGAGCTGGATCAGAACCAAAGTAGCCAGGACTCAAACCAATACTGGTAAGAGATGCAGGCTTCATAAGCATCAGCTTAAGAAAGCCACTGTGACACAATGTCTCCCATTTTTATCAACTTGCAATAAAAGGTTTAAGCCTTTTTGAATGTAAAATTTAAACCTTTTTAAATTTAAAACAATTTTTATCAACTTGTAATAAAAGATTTAGCCCCAACTTGGTAAGCATTACATAACAAAAACTTATAACAAATATTTACTTAATAGGAATATTTTCATTTCTTATAATGTTGGGAAAAGTATCCCTATCATCACCATTAGTATTTAATATACTGAATTAAGATTAAAGTCCTAGTTAAAGTTATAAGTAAAGAAAAATGTTATAAAATATTTAAGGATTGGAAAGTGTGGTTGTGTTGGAACATAAGAAAATCAGGTAAATAGGTTGAATAATAAGTGTTAAATTTCATGCAAGTCTCATTTAGCTATCTGTGCTTCTATTGCAACTGGGCAGGCCCTGTGGCTGATACATTTTCTGCAGGTCAGCAGGCCCAGTTATGCTGATACATTTTCTCCTGGTCAGCGGGTTCAGTTAGGCTGATACATTTTCTAGTGGTCAGTAGGCCCAGTTAAGCTGATACATTTTCTTCTATGTACCTCCTTGGCTGATGGCCACTATTGTGTAAACCCTGTATATAAGGAGGCTAACTCTTGTGCAGTTGGCTGCTGCTGTTGTTGCCGCTGCTGTCTTTGCTGCTGCTGGCTGAAAAAAAGAATATCTCATCTACCTACAGTTCTTCGAGTTTCAAGCCCTACTCACCTTGACATTCCAGACAGCTGAGCATAGATCCAGCAGGTAGGCAGAAAGCTAACATATCTCTGAATAGCCATTGACCTTGCAAACCCCTCCCCTTGAGTGTGATGAGACTCATGAATATGGCAGATATTATTCTAGTCACTAAGTTATCTGCTATGAAAAAAAGTAAAGGGTTTGGATTTGTGATTAAGGTCCCAATTCAGCTTATTTTGAGGTAATAGAGGGATATTATCCTTCCTGGGCCTGATCCTTCAATGAATGGTCTAAAGACTAGAGACATGCAAGCTTCAAAGAAGCAAGTTTCCATAAACTCTACAACTGCTAGAAAAAGAATTTTCCCAGTATCCACATAAGCCAGGAGGAAGGCCCTCGACCTTACATGAGGCTACAGTTGTAACCATCTTGATTTCAGTTCAGTCTTGTGGGATCTGAAGCAGATAATGCACTTAAGCCATGTTAGGGCTTTCAACATACAAAACCTTGAAAAAGTCTATGAATATTTTTAAACCACTAAATTTGTGGAAATGTGTTATGCAGCAAATAAAAAATATTTTTTTTTGACAGGCAGAGTGGACAGTGAGAGAGAGAGACAGAGAGAAAGGTCTTCCTTTGCCGTTGGTTCATCCTCCAATGGCCGCCGCGGCCGGCGCACTGCGCTGATCCGGTGGCAGGAGCCAGGAGCCAGGTGCTTTTCCTGGTCTCCCATGGGGTGCAGGGCCCAAGCACTTGGGCCATCCTCCACTGCACTCCCTGGCCACAGCAGAGAGCTGGCCTGGAAGAGGGGCAACCAGGACAGAATCCGGCGCCCAACCGGGACTAGAACCCGGTGTGCCGGCGCCGCTAGGCGGAGGATTAGCCTAGTGAGCCGCGGCACCGGCCCAATAAAAAATAATTTTGGCAGGAAGAGGTTAAGCTGCCATTGTTTTTAGGTGGTATGATCATCTAAATAGACTCCCAAACAGAATCAATATACAAACTACCAAAACTCATAAGGAATCCAGTGAAGTTGCCTGGTGAACAAATAGCCTACAAAAATTAACAATATTTATATCTACTAGCACTAATGCATTAGTAAGTATAATAAAATGTAAAATAGAACTCCCATTGGCAGTAAAACCTTTAAAATATCTAGGACTTATCTTAGGCCAGAATTTACAAATCCTAACATAGTCTAAATAAAGAGAAAATTATAAACATGCTTTTACATGAGATGATTCTTTTAAAAAATTCTCAATAAATTAATAAGTAAAATTCCTATAAAATTATGTTAGGTTTTAATAATAAATTACTTTACTTCTCTATGCATATAGAGATATATAAGCAACTAAATCTTTAAAAGGAGAAAATACAATTTTTTGCTTTTTGAATTATACGGACTACAGAATCTCAGTAATAAATGTGTGTATCAGTACAAGAATACATTTTGAACAAATACTCCAATGGGACAGAATAAATAAAAGATAAATATATTCATGCATGTATAAGAACTTAATATATATAATATAAAACAAAATTGAGCCGGCGCCACGGCTCACTAGGCTAATCCTCTGCCTTGTGGCACCGGCACACCAGGTTCTAGTCCTGGTCGGGGCACCGGATTCTGTCCCGGTTGACCCTCTTCCAGGCCAGCTGTCTGCTGTGGCCCGGGAGTGCAGTGGAGGATGGCCCAAGTGCTTGGGCCCTGCACCCGATGGGAGACCAGGATAAGTACCTTTCTTCTGCCATCAGATCAGTGCGGTGCGCCGGCCGCAGCGCGCCAGCCGCAGCGTCCATTAGAGGGTGAACCAACGGTAAAGGAAGACCTTTCTCTCTGTCTCTCTTTCTCACTGTCTACTCTGCCTGTCAAAAACAAACAAACAAACAAAAAAAGAACCAAAAAAAACCTACAAAATTGACACCACAAATCAAAAGGGAAAAATGAGTACTTGAGAGTATATGGAGAAAATTTAACTTATTATAAAAAGAAAAAAACCTCTGACCCTTCATAGTACAAATAAAAAGATGAATTTCATATTTATTGAAGGGTTACATGTAAGAGAGAAGAATGTTAATAATATTAAATATAGGAGAATATTTTTGTTCTTTATAACTGGAGGAAATCTCCTCACATTAAAGTTCCAAAATGTATACAATAAAGCTTTCATATAATCCATAAAATTATGAATTTGATGACATCAGGAACTCAAGATGTCTGTTCAATGAAAGATACTATGGATACAGTTAATAGATAGATTAAAGGAGAATTTATTTGTAATGTTTAAACTTGACAGAGGTTTAATATCTAGAATATATATGATTCTCCTACAATTTAACACCACAACAGGAATAAAAGTAGAAAAGACACAAAAGACACAAACACTTAGAGGATAAAGGCTAACAAGAATACTGAGTAATGTTTCAACTTAATAATCATAATGGCGGCCCAAATAGTCAAATCCCTTCCACCCATGTGGGAGACCTAGATTGAGTTCCTGGCTCCTGGCTTCAAATTGGCTCAATTCTAGCTGTTAGAGGCATCTGGGGAATGAACCAGCAGATGGGAGATCTCTCTTGCTTT